ATATATATATATATATATATATATATATATATATATATATATATATATATATATATATATATATATATATATATATTGTAAAATCATCTCAATACCATGGTTAAAAGTGGGTCAAAACCATGGTAGATCAGTACGAAACTTTCAATTTCTACAAACATTCTCATCGCAACATTTTAATTGATACGAATCTTAATGAGTTTGTAATTTTTTTTTATAATAAAGATATTATTCATTAGTGTCACGTAGAAAGTTTTAATTTATTACTACAAAGGCTAAAAATGTAGGAAAAAATGAATTAATTAAAATAGTGTATAAACATATTAAATGATAAATTAACAAAATTAGTATGTGAACGCATTTATTTCCTAATGATTGTAAAGCCGACACGTGTCAGTTACGGTGTTAACGCATTTATTACAATGCTTCTCTTTTAATATATAAGGGATGTCAAATACTAACATTTTTGTAAGATGGGATAACTTTTTCGATTATTTAATATACATATATACACTGGATTGATAGAAAAATTAATGTAAGATTTAAAAGTCTACGCTTAAGGTTTTGCTTCTTTAGTCAAATAATATACAGTATAACTTTTTTAAATTCATACTCTATAAATTAATATATACTAAAAATTTTTATAAAATAATATAGTTCCAAATTGAGTTTTTAATTCAATTAGTATATCGAAAATTAATAATCTCTACAAATTAATAAAAAAATTATAGTTTTGCTGTAATTCGAACATTATTAATTTATATAGGTTTCACTGTATGCTTTTATAATTTTATATAGATGATTTTAGAAACATGTTTTCATAACAACATCAACAATGGCATGTACATGCAGATGAAGGTTTCTTTGACAATAATATTTATGTATAAGATATTAATGATGTTATATCAATGTTGGATAAATTTTAATAGAAACAAAACAAAAAAAAAAGAGACATATCAAAAGATCACTATGCTGGACTCGCTCTCGCAATCTTTATACCAGTACTCTTTAAACCAGTGAGCTTCTTTTCCTGTTCGGTGTGCTTAATCTGGAAGATAAGCACTTCAGTGGAGAGAATAAAAAGAAATGGTGACAGCGGGTCACCTTGTTGCAGTCCGTGAGATTGTATGATATTTCCTTTTGCTTTCCTGTTAATGAAGACTTGATATGAGACCGATGAGATGCAACACATTATCCTGTTTATCCATCTCCCATCGAATCTCATTTTCCCATAACTTCTTCCAAGAAGCTCCAGTCTACACTATCATATGCTTTGTTCATGTCTATCTTTATAGCTACAAATTTTCTAGAGCAGCTTGGATGGAACATTTCTTGCGCAGTCAAGATATTATCAGTGATGAGTCTACGAGCCACAAAGGCTGGTTATGTTTCCTTGAAAGCACTCTTCTCAGTCGTAATGATAAAACTTTGTAAATGATTTTGTAGCATTCGTTTCATAAGCTTATAGGCCTGAGTTCCGTCATGGATCTAGGTCTCTCTGTCTTCAGTATCAAACAAATATTATTCTGATTCATCCTTTCATCTAGCTCGCCCGAGACAAAGAAGCTTTGAACCGTAAAGACGATATATTTTCCAATGTGACCCCACCGTTAATAGAAGAGGCTCGTCATGCCGTCAGATCCAAAAGCCTTGTCTAGATTGATTGTAAAAACCGCTTCTTTGATCTCTGCCTCTGTTGGATCTCTCATTAAGGCTGTGTTTGTTGGTGGTGGGTTTACAACCCTCATTTAGCTCTTCTCAAATCACCATTGGCCCATTAAAATAAAGAAGAAGCCCAACCCAAAAAGGAAAACGTTGCGACCAAGTTTAACTAAACTTGGTGACAAAGATTCCACTATAAATATAACTCTCACCTCTTCACAAACCCTATTCTCCATTTCATTCACTTTCCCTTTTCTCGAAACAGAAGTTGAAAGAGAGACTGACAGAAGTTCTAAAGAGAAGTCTCTCTAGAAAATCCAGAAGGCAAGTCGTCCGACGACGATGACACCGCCGCTCCGACACTGTCATGCCGACCCGAGCCTCTTTCTGTCGACCTCATCCCGACGAGGATAACTAGAATCATCATCCCGGAAGCTATTACTTAACATCTCATCATCTACATGTTCTCTCATTGTGGTCTGGTATCAATCCTAATCTCAACTTCAAGATATGATAATACCATTGAAATATCCATGGATGAACTACGAATGACTTGATTGACTTGATCTCTCTTAAAAGAGTACGTATGCAACCTTTCATAAGGTATAGCTATAACACAAAACCATCTTTTATCTCTTTGTCATCGCTAGGTATACAACTTCATTAACAAGATTCTCGGAGCTTCGTATCTTACATGGGTTACTCTAAACCATATTTGACCATTTATAATATTTGTTGACTTTACCGAATTTAGGATTCAACGGCGTTCATCTCTGGTGTGACCCTCGCGGTAGTAAACCGGAGAGCTTCTTCTCTGTCATTTGGTGCGGAGGCGGTAAACTGGCTCGTAAAATATTCAGTAGCCAAATTTTCTATGCCGTCCTCTATTTCCACTTAATTACCGAGGGAATCCAGTAGTCTTGTATCTGTGATACGGTGGCGTGCTCGACGTATTTAAAGATGTTAAAGGAGCTTTCTTAGATGAAGAACGAAGCAGATGCTGAAGATTCCTATTTGATTCCTGTAAATTGTTACAACCATTTATATTGACTAACCGGCACTTGGCAAAAAGAAAACTATAGTATAATCTAAAATTACATTTATATACAAACGCATCATTTAGCCAACTTCAAAAGTAGTGTTGCGATTCTTATTGCTTCAAAAGGCTGGCAATGCTGTACGGACTACCTAGAGGTCCATCAAACGAGCTGCTAGCCATCATCATATTAGTGGCTTCGGAACTATGAATATCATCCCAAAAGACATATTCACTCCGGTTTGCACAAATTGGTTTGTTTGGTGTGCAAAGTTCTTCCCCTGGAGATAATGTACAACAAGCCTTGTGTCTAACCTTAAATCCTACAGCATTACGAGATCATCGTAAATCCAACCTTTTATTTTACATAGAAATAATAATTTTTTGTTTTTTGTTAACTACAATTATTCATTTACTATTGACAATTTTTTTTTTTTGCTATGATTTACAGAACACTATATTAAACCAGAGATTTAATCAGTGTGTTGTGACTGTTGTCAACTTCCAATTTGATAGGAATCCTACAAGTTGAGATAACAAGATATAGCTACATTCTCTAAATTTTAGGCAATGTTATTCTTATATATTGGATATAAAATGCAATAAGGCTGGAGTTCAAAATATAGTTTACCTAAAACTTTGTAAGCTAAGGGATCTGCACCAGAGAACATATCGACATAGGTGAACTTAGCACCATGGACGTTCTTATTGAAATCTTCTACAAGGTCTTCTAGGTTCTTATTGAAGATTGCCACTGCAGCGTTCACCTCTCTCGCACAACCTTTACCACCACCATGGGACCTAATCATCTTTGGTGTGCAACCAATCTTACTGATCGAGAAAAGTGCCACTTTCCGCGCTCCTAAGTGGTGCAAACTCTACAAAAAATACATCCATTCACAAATTGACGTAGCTGGAATGTAAGGGATACTTACCAGATAACTAGGATAAATGCAAAGTTATTACTAAATTCTTCCCCTATACCTTCAATTGAGTATGATAGAGTATGATGAGAGAATGTGCATATTGATTAGGCTTAAAACGGCGACTCGTGTTGTATGGTTTTGACATGAAGTAGTTGTTGACGTAATCGTTGCTTCCAATGCTGATTGCATAAAGGCATTGTTCCAGTCTATGAAGTGGTACATTCACTTTCTTTCTCGCCTTTTTGTGGTTTAGTATTTGGTTGCTTAGACTTATTCGACCACTCTACATATCGTGAGAGATTAATATTATAATAAGTGGTGTTTAAAAAAAAAAGAAAAAAGACATCATTTTTATTCAAAGTTATGTTGGTTTTTCATTTTAAAAAGGGATCTTTTTTTGTTGTTGTTGTCGTCGTCTAGTAAAACTAAAGTATCAATGCATCATATAATTTTGATTTAAAACTATACTCCCTACGTTCAATTTACTTGTCGAAACTTTTCGTTTTAAAATAAGTGTTGTTTATAATTTAATGCAAAAATTTATTAATTTTATATATTACTTTATTTTTCTATTGGTTGAAAATTGGTTATGTGTATAGATAATTGTGTTTTTATTTTAAAAATATATAAAATTAAATATTTTCTTAATCTAAACAACAAATAAAATGAAATTGAGGGATTATTAATGAGTTTTAATGTGAGATCCGGTTAACCATATATAATTTTCATTTTTCATTTATATATAAAATTATCATTATTTACTTAGTTTTTACTTCGTACCAAATGTTCACTAGTTTCTTCACGGAGTCCGCCTGCACCAGAAGCATAGTTCATCCCGATGTGAGCTCGTTCCGGTGATGCTCCGGCGAATGGCGGAATAAAATCCTTAAAACCCGAGAGTTCACCTTTTAAGAAAAAAAGATCATGTTTACATATACAAACAAATATGTGTGTATATATATCACAGAGAAGGTAACTAGGCACAGGTATAAACATATATAAAGAAAAAGGGGATACCATTATAGTTACTAGATGACAACAACAACAACAAAAACAAAGGGCTTTTCTAGTGATATTATTGTAAATGGTTTGCCATAATGTTAGCGTAAAAAGTAATTATTAACGAACTGAAACGTTATTTATTCAAAAGTTCATGATTTTTTTCTAAACTATCAAATAATATGTTGAAGAATACAAACGCTGAGTTACACATCAAAGATCATATATACACTAACCGAATAAAATCTGCGATAGTGCGGCAATTGGTGAACCGGCCCGTCGGGCCTCTGGCAAAGTCAATACCATAAGGTAAAAAGTTAACTTTTGCCTTAGTTTGCAAGTTATTGTTGTTGCCACTGTCGAAAACTGAATCTCCAAAGATGAAGTAACATGGCACTTGTTGCGCATAACCCACCGTTGCAGCTCCAAACACGGTA